CCAAGCAGAAAGTAGCCAAAAAGCAAGTATCTTCAAATGTCTTCACACACACAAAAAGGCCATATTTGATAACTTAACCATTTTGCCTCTGCAGCCTGGGATTCTTTTTGGGATTTGATTTTAGTAAAGATAAATATTTTCCAAAGATGATAACTCCCTTTGCAGCCTGAGTAATGCACATTTACTAGCATATGAATCCAGGATACCGGGTTAGGTTTTTGGCAGTGGGATTTATGAAATAATTTGCAATATGGTTTTTATCATCAGGTAGATATCCTGAATCAGATTCTTCTCCTTGACCTGGCTTCCTATGAGACATTTATAGCTTAGAGAGTTCCCATCTAGTGTACATGACAGCTCCAATGGAAGGAATGTTTTATTGTATGGTTTAGGCTGGTCAGCATTCTTTTTATTTTTCTAAGGCCATACCAAATTCTGTTAAGAGTTCAAGGACAGGTTTTTGGAAAGTATTCAGACTTCAATGGGAACAGAATTAACTGGGTGCAGGCTGCTTTTTGCAAACATTTATCTGAATCTCTGAGGGAAATGTATAATACATTTTACCCACTGAAAGGGTCTGCAGTTAGAACTAGTCACAGGGGTGCAATATCTCACATTTTACATTTTCTCACTTAGAGCAGGATTTGTTGCATTCTGACTTGCATTATTTAACCACTAGACTCTAGATCCAGCTAGAGATTCAGGCTCCCTCTGTAGTCGGCAAAGAGAAGCCAACACTGCCAGCAAAGACAGTCTGAAAAGGTGGGATTAATCTTCCTCTGAGGGTCCCTGACTTTCTTCTTTGGCTACACAGAGCACTTGGATGACATGCATGATTCTTAAGTAATTTAAATGCTAAAATTACAGCTGAATGCTTAATTATTCACATACAGGTCTCAGGAATCCCATTCCCATGAATCTATTTTTATACTTCCCAGGTTACCCACTTCAGCAATAGTTGAAGGATAGAGATGACAGAAGTCCCTTAATTTTGTACTGCATGCAGGGCTTGAATTATTTTTTTCACTGTTAAAAGTGTTCAGTATGAACGGTTCTGGGAACTAATTCATAGTAATGTCTGGAGTATTGTAATCTGCCCCACGCAAAGTAGAACAGGTAATTCTCGTTAGAGTCGATATTTGTGCATTAAGCTCTTCAGTGTTCTCACTCTGTAATTGGGTCCTTCAAAAGGGAATATAAAATTAATATTATTTCAACCATGAGAAAATTTGTATATTAATTCAATATCCTTTAACTTTATGTCACTTAATTGCTTACTGTAAATGCATGGAAATAAAACCAGATGCAGCTCTTCAGCCCATGGGATATCATGATCCACAATTGCATGCCCTTCTGTTGCATGAGAAGGTAAAGTCTGATGGAGTGTAACACAAGCCCCTTCTCAGACCACTTACTGTGGCTTCCTAATTTCGTTGTTGTAACTACTATGGCACAAAAAGTCAAGAGGGATAGGAGAGAAGTAGGTGTGACATCAAAGCTAATAACTTATATTACACATTATGACTACTACTCTCTAATGACTGTACGGAGAGTCAGGCTCTGGCGGGCTTAATAGCTTAATTTTCCCCAATTATAATATAGTGATTGTGAGACATCTATTTCAAAACCACTTATCAGAGAAATTGATTCAGTCTCATTATCTTTATTTTGTGGTTATATAAGCTAAGCCAAACAGGTAGAGAGATTTTTCCACATTATGTTGAAGGGGGGAGCAACAAGTAGAGCTCACTTGCCTGAACCCACCCAAGGGACCCAACCTTTAGTCTTCCCTATCATACACGAGGGAAATTTCAAGAGTACTTCTAAGAAAATCATGGAGTGGTTTTCCCAAACTCACCATTAATTGAAGAAGAATGGAGCTGTGCTCTGGAAAGCTTTTCTCCTGGCATTTCTGTATTTACCCAATGGAAACCTTTCTTCTTAATGGAAATTTGACCTGAATATTGGAAAGCAAATATCCATTCAAAATATTACTTTAAAATAATAATTCAAGTGAATATTGCTGTTTGGTGTTTTGATAAGAGTCACAGAATTCATAAAGGCAGCTATTCAAAAATATTGTTTACTGCTCCTCGATGAACAAAGTGAATGAGTGAATGAGAGATCTTCCTTCGACATCTCAGTTAAACTTCCCCTGTAGTTTGTCTTACGGGGGGCAAGCGTGCTTTAAAAATATCCTCTGCCGCAAAACAGCATAAATTCTCTTTTCACGTAAACTATTTTAGAAATAGGCCCACCAAAAGAATTGGGCCCACCAAACCAATATAGAACTGATGAGAAATGCGTAGTAGTTTGAAGTCATTTCCAAAAGGCAGAGCTTATTCTCCAAATGAATTGCTAGACCTCAATCGAGCTTTTCACAAAGGCCTGTCCTCTTAGTGGGCATAATTTCATGAATGTATCTGAAAATATATATCTTCTGTTGAAATGAACAATAAAAGGTTTACCTAAGTTTGCAGAGCAAGAGGGTAAACCATACAAAACTATGCATGGTCACTCACATGAACTGTAAGCTGAGAAATTTTCATTCCCTAGAGGAATGAAAACAATACAACAAAGGCTCATATTTGCAGCCTGGAACATTGTCTAAATAGCAATGGACTAAATCTCTTTCTAATGTATTTTTTTCTGTGAGATCCAAAAGTACAACCTGGAGTTAAAATATTTTGGAAACTTAACTTTTTACTTTCTGTCACTGGCATTTTTGCTTATTCCCATTGTGACACTGATCCTACATTGGCACCGATCCATGCTGTGTTTCTGTCTCTTATAGCAGCCAGTTACTCACAGTTCTTGCCTTTTACTGAGTCTGCAGCAAACTTTAATCCTGTAAGCACAGCCCGAAAAGCAAACACTTGTAGCAAGGCAGTGCCGTACAAGAGTAGGAAGATGTGATGGTGTAAACACCACTTGCTGGTCTGTTCACACCAGTTCTAGAGGCAAAGATCCCTTTTGCTAGCCCTAGGTATTTGCCCATTCAGAAAGACTTCAATGTTAAAAGTCATCACCACTGTAAGAGTGAAAGTTATCCAAACTTCACACCCAGGCAGATGAACGAGTTAGCAGAAGGGGTTGGATGAGATCTGCAACAGAGCACTCACTCCACGTCTCTGAACTGCCGTGCAGACAATGGCATTTAACACTGTGCCTTACAATCAAACCCATAATCATCTCTGTCTTCAGTTTAGCTGCATTACAACTAGACATCTAGAAAAAACAAAAGCAAGATTCACAAGACTCTGCAAATGTTCTGTAGAGAAGGTGCCAATCCTTTACTCAGCCAAAGGCCCTGGATCCCCAAACAGTTTTTGTTTAACTAGCAGGAATTCGTCGCACCACAGGAACAAGCAAGCATCTGTTCTTCAATCCCTATTAGGTTAGGGAAGTTTCCATCACAAAAAAACCACATTTTATCCTGAGACTGCTTCAGGGAATGGCAAAAGCTCATGAGCATTTATTTGATTATTATGACATGAGGGTCATCTTTTTGCTTTGTAGGTAAAGAATAACTAACACGATGATGTGATCACTAATTTGGACCACTAAATGCAGCCATAAAGCAAGCAAACAAATAAATAACATTCATCAGCAAAATCACTGCCAGGAGTCTCAAATCTAAGTGTGTATGGTACCACTTTTCCAGGGGAGCTGTTATATGATTTTTAGTCTTTTCTACAAGCCTGAATTTTAGTAGTGATAAACTAAGCTTAAGGGCACTGTTTCAGCAACTTGATTTTAATTTCTGGGTAGACTTGGAGTGACAAGAAAAGAATTACACCCTTATCAGCGGTAACATTTTGGCCACTAAAAAATTAGCTAATTCATTCAATGAAACACATGCATGCAATTAATACATGTTTTTAAAAGACAGTCCATCAGATGGAACTATGAAATAGTCATTGCTTTTCATTGAAATCATTAGATATAGTTACCTCTCCCAAGCTAGGTTGAGAATATATATAATTACATATAGAAGACGACTGGCATAGAGTATGATGCACTAGCAAGTAGTGTATATTTAGGGGATTTATACAGCAAAATAGCTGGTGTGATAGATAGAAATTTGAGGAGCAGAGGGTACATTGATCTTTAATCTGGTCCATGGACCGAATGCCTGGAAGTAGCTGGAGCATTGCAGAGGCGGCAGATGAACCTTCAGGTTCACTTTTAGGAGTGAACTTCAGGAGTTCACTTCCTTCACTGCAGGAGTCCAGGAACCACCCAGTGATGTAGCCCAAAGAACAATAAGTGGGGACAAACAGAGGATTTGCTTCGAAGGCACACTCCTGATTCAGACTAAAACATGAATATTTGCTCCCACGTTGCCATTTATTGCACTAAATTTTCTCTTAAACAAAGACTTGGCAAGGACTTTTACATTTAACAAAAATAAGTAGGTGATTTAGCACATGAAAGGCTTTACTGGTTCTGACAAAGTACATACATTTCATCTGAGTTAACCACAGTGTTTTTACTGAAGGCCAAATCCTGAAGCTTCCATTCACAGCAGCATTTTCTTTGAGAGGTCCTATGTAAATCGTTGAAGTTATTTTCTGTGGAATGAAGTCTGTTGCTAAATGTGTGTAAGCTATACTAATATTTAGACTCCAAGAAGAAAAGAAAGAAAAGCCAACATAATATGTCATATTATTTGTAAAAACAGTGTACCAAAGTACAACATTAAGCCAATGACAGGAAGGCTTTGGATTTTTCTTATCTGCGTAATAGTATAGAACCCAGAAATTGTTCTTTTATTGTTATTCCGGTAAGTTCAATTCATGCAGTCAATTTTATTGATTTACTACTAATACAAAATATTTCCCAAGACCAGAGGAAAAAACTGTATATGCAATTTGTATTTTGATTTGGATTAAAAAACCCGCAGATATAAATCTTGTTGAAATCAGTGGTAGCAAAGATATAGTAAAGATCTGGTGTAAGTCAGCATTTCAATACTCCTTAAAACTAAGTTTTATGTGTTACTCACGTAACTCACTGAAGCAGGATTTGCTGTGAAGCATGTGATGGAAGAGCTTGCACAAAGGCTGCTCTGTGGGAAGTAAATTCTGGCAGGTGCACTCCACGCGCAGCATCGTGCCCCAGTTGCTAATGTAGGCTGCTTTGCAGTCAGCATTTGCAGAACAGGGCATGTCACCCTTGATTAAAGTTTCAAGACAAGCTTCATCATCGTAGCATTTTTTTGTCACGTGTCTCCAACACTTTGACCGAAAAGTTGTGTATTTTTTCCTGGTGGAAAAAAAAGAAGTATACAATGACAGTTTAAAAACTCTGTGATTTCACAAAAAGACATTTAAGGATCATCGTGAAAAGAGACCACTTGTATAGACATTTACCACTATACACACATTTGTCTATACACACATTTACCACTTGATTACCACTCAAGCCTTAAAAATCACAATCTTCTGTGATAGCTGGCCTAAACTCTTCTCTGATTTACACCTCATTGGTTTGAGTGAAATCTGCAAAATTGTAATTTGAGGAAAAACTTGTTTTTACTGAAAAAGTTTTTGAGAAAAAGCAAGTGCACTTCTAATCAGCACTCTGGAGATTTCCCAGGGTCCAGCAAAAATCAGTGTGAATACCAACAGTCTCAGATCCTCAGAGAAGAAATACAGTTAGAGGAATTAGACCAGTTGTCACAATGAGACCAAAACAGGTGCCGTACTAGTGAATCAATTTGTTGGGCAGTGTGAAGGAAGAATGAATATTCAACTTATTTTACATAAAGTAATCTACATCCAATGCCAACCCCTCCTCCCCCTGAATGCTAACAAAATACAAAATGTCCAAGGATCAGGAAAAATTAGAAGTAATTCAGTTGACCTTCAAGATTAATTGATAGCAGAGATAAGTTACGAGAAGAATTAACTTGTTTCCCAGCTCAATAATCTCAAATAATTTCAGTTTATTTACTCTCAGGATAGAATAAAATTGGCCTTTAATGCACTATGTATGACAATAGAAAACATCTATTACAAGTTAACTAGGAAATCTGTAGATATTAATTAGAAACTAATTTATCACTTACATTAAGTATTAGGGGACGATAAAGGTAAACTGTTGTTGTATATTGTACATTAACCTATTAAAATATTACTTCCTTAATCATAAAATTAGGCTATTAATTTACTGTTGATATTGTGTAGCTGTAAACAAGCAAGTCACATGGAAAAACATGGACTGTTACAATACCAGCTAAGACATTATTGTAAATCTTTTCATTACACAAGCAAAGGTTTCAAAGCAGATGCCACCTCTGTGCTAATGGAATTATTTTTATTCGCCTCCTGATTTATAGATATGGCTAGCCATAATTCACAGAGTAATTTTGCTAATTATATCCATTTATTGACAGTGCCAGGAAACATTAATGTTCCCAAAATAATGGGTAATTCAGCAAGTCTCCATTATGATATTGCATGTGTACACATGCACATGCACAGACATACATTTGTAGCCCAATTCTTCTTGACATGAAAGGGGGCAATTCCCACTGACATCAATCTGAAGAGCCTGCACAGACCTGAAAGCATCTTTTGGCCTCCTGGTTTGTTGACTGAAGGTTAATTTGAGCACAGCTTTGAGGTAAAACTCAGGTCTAATCCACAAGGGAACCGGTGACTGCACTGAAAACCGAAGTGAGCCAACTGACCATCCACAAATGGTGGCAATTAAGTGGTGGCAAAACTACAAATACGGACTAATCCTGTTGCATGTTTTCTAAAATAAAATCAAATCTGAAAACTGCATTATTCTTCATGAGTTTGGTGGTCTGTGCATGTTTCAGGGCAGCTTGTTCCAAGTATCAGTACGCTTGAGATGAATAAGATGACAGTTTTCTGAATGGGCCAAGTTCGTTGTATGGCCGTTGGGTACAAAGGGTCAGACTCTGTGGTGGAAGAGGTAATTACTTCAACCAAACAAACTTTGTCTGGTCTGCTGCACAATTTGTGCAAACTGCTAGAGGGCAAAGGTGCAGACAGGCCGGTGTTATCTGAAGAAAGTGGTAATGAAAATATGCAATGGCATAGTTTGTCCAGCAGAAATGGTGTTAAGCGTCATGAAACAGGCAGAAGAAAAACCCACACTAGATTCCAGACCTTTCTGAAAATGAACCTTTTCATTTTACTTGTGGAATTACCACAGTTGATGCAGACATCTGTGAAGATGTCAAACACAAGTGATGATATACAGTAAATAACATGCAGAAAATAATTTCGTTATAGATGAGATATATGGCATATATATAAATTTTTTTTGATCAAATCATTATTCAAAAGCACATTACTGGGCAAAATCTTTCTTCTGCTTACCTGCACAGTTCATTCTCTTCACACACATGGATTACATTCAGACATGATGGGGGTGGAACTGCAGTAACTGCACAGGGCTTGCCATGAAGAAGTTCTCTGGCTCTGTGGCAGGATTCATCAGGCTGGATACAATCACAAAATGTCATCATTTGGGCAACTTCAAAAGGCATGTTTTGATAGAAGAATCTTATGGCTGCTTGACATTCTTCCATGTTGCATTTCTTATTTACTGAGCAAACCTTAAGGTACAGGGACAACTGTTTGTTACATACTTCATCTTCAACACACTCCTTGTTCACATCCAAACAGGTTCTGTTTGCTGTGTGTGCTAAAAAGAATAACAATTTTTAAAATGAAATCACAAGAAAACCTTTCTCAAGTGATGATTAGTAGTCATCCTGCCTGCAACATTCCCATTAGAAACAAGTTTGACTCCCCAAAACTCTGATCCAGTTCTTCCAGCATTGCCTCTTTTAAGCCCATTGTGTGATCTTCATACTTCTCCCTTCCACTGCTTGGCCCTCATAAGCACCCCTCCTGCAAGTTTCTGCCCCTGCCTGATAAATGAGGGAGAAGAAAGTGAAAACTGGCATGATGGAAGTTTCTTCACAGTATGTGACCATTTCTGGGAGCTTGTGGCTAGTGGATACCTGAAACTGCTGAAATCTCCAGCATGCAGTCTTATGCTAGGCTACATAGTAAGTAATGGAGAAGAGACTATAAAAGGCATTTCTATCCTTTTAAAGCTAGTTTAGGTATTTCTAGCCTATGCTATAAACCTTCCAAAAAGTTCTAGATAATTCTGACCCTAAAATGTTTATGGGATAAGATTTGCCTCTATAAATTTAACAGGATTAGGATTGTTACCTGACCTTTTTGGATTCTTATCTAACCAGTAGCTTAACTGAAAATATGTTGGATCTATTGACTCCCTGCTCTTCAGTAATGTGAATGAAAAGTATTCATTTTAATCGTGAGATACATTGTACACTATCTGAAAACAGAGCTAAATCCAGTTATTAGGATTCATAAGTAAATTCAGACTTACCTTGTTTGGAGAGAGCAGACAAACTCCATTGTAATTTTGTTTCTGTACTAATATTGTCTAGAACAAAAAGATACAAATACAGGTGTAAGTGATAAATCATGTCTTAGCTTAGTTTTTAACTTTAAAGTACTGGCTGTGTTTCTGGCATAATGCCAGTAATAAAAATAAACAAGAATTAAAAAAATAGCTGGACCAAATAGGACCTGTCAGCTTGTTAACAAACTCTAAAATCACTGTTACATATATTCATAAGTTTGGGGGTGAAAGCCATCAATGGCTGCTGATAATGTTCTCTACATAATTATAGGTCCTGTGAGCTCAAGAAGAGTTTTTAGAGCTGCTCAGCACAGTATAAAGTCAGATTTCTTGTGAATAAATAAAGGCCAGGAACCGTAACGTGTTCATCAGTGCACCCAGTTTTCAAGTTCAACTAACTGCTTGTCGTGATCTAAAGTCAA